AAAGATAATGTTGTTGTTGTCTAGAAGGATCTGAAAGGAGGAGAAAGGTAAATCTAATAGGATTTCAATTTTGTACAGTCTATCATTTATTAGTGAAGAATAATAATGGGAGGGGAGGGGGCTTAATAGAGAGGGGGGCTTATTAACTTTCATCCCCTAAAAAGGGAGGGCTATCAGATATGGGGGATTAATAGAGGATTTACGGTATTTCACTTACATTCTTGCTTCTGCACAAGTCAATTATTTCGCTTCCCCTAGTTGTTTTTTAGATTATTTTTCCATCAACACCACCACATTTCAGCATAGTTTTCCTTCTTACCAAATTTTGAAGTCAAACGAATGGCCTAAATCACACACTGTTATTAGCTACCTCCTATACCTGGGTTGAATAATATGTATGTTGCAATTTAGTTGGAGGATATATATTATTTGTAGCTATTTGTGTTAGGTTTTAAATAATGTATTTATTTATTTATTTAATATATATTTTTCTCTCAACAGTTAAAATTTGTCAATTAGTGTACATTGTAATTTGTTGCCTTTTGTACTTTAAAAAAGCCTCATTATTATCTTTGAAAAGCCCCTTCTAGAAAGATAACAAATATGCATGTATGTCACTGGAATCGCCACGTTCGATTTAAAATTATCGGTACCTTTGCAACCATAGAGTTCCACTCTAATTGCGATGAAATGATTCCAACCCGTTGGTCGGAAGCGGATGAAACGTGCCCTGATGATTGGTGGAGCAAGTTTGTGATATATCAATCTGTGGCCATCTCTGTTTCCAACAAAATCCTATGATGAAACAAAGTAAAAGTTAGGTATTCAGAGTAGATTTTGTTATTTTAAGACAGTTCCTAATACAGTTCTTTTCTGCTTAGACTGATTATGATGCGAAAATTATGCAGATCGAAGATATCAGCATAATTTTTCACATCATAGAAAGGCTGAATTCGATGATTGTTTTATTATTCATTCAAAATTAATGAATTTCTAGGTTCTTAACGTCGAGCTTCCCTCCTCGTAGAGTTTCGAAACTTTGGCCCACGTCTTGGCACGGTTTCCGGATGTAAACATTTGTTTTTTTTTTGGCATATGCTCTTCAAAGAGCAGATAGCCATGGACGCCATTTTTTTTAGTTCACTCTTGTTTCAATGCAAATATTTTATCGATCAACGTCGTTTCCACGCCAATATACTATCGAATCAATGGTACATTGCTCGCATCTTCCAAATTTGGTCAACGACGGCTGGTTGTAAATGATTAAGTGGGGATTTTAGTCTCAGAAATGGCGAAATCTTTTGATTGACTGATAATTGTCTTGGTATAAGGCCAGTAATTAACATGATGGGCTATTATCTTTTTCATTTGTTTGAATAGCCTTACCTTACGAGTTGTCTCCCCTTGTGCTTTGTAGTCCTGGAATGTTTCGTCATCACGTCCCTTGTACTGGAGAAAGAAACTCTTTACCCATTGTCTACAGCAGTGTCTTCCTTGAGTGGCAACCCGTGTTACTATGTAGTTGTGCCCGACTAGATCAATTTGAAGCCACTGATTCCGGTTCTGGTTTTTAGCTACCCAACAATTTCTAGAATTTACTCTCCCATAGATGGCTGCAAGGTTATGTGCGTATTCGGAAGACGCACTTATTTGTTTGTCGGTGATCATCATGTTTTCCATTCCGAGAGGCCAAATAACTCTACATTCTATAAATAAGCACCGAAACAAAGCTTTCAATTACAGTATATGCCCGTTAATACGGTCACCAATGGGCCAAAAAAGTATGGCCGTATTAACGGGTGACCATATTCAACGAGAGTTTTCTGCCAGAAAATCAGTATGGTCGTCTCACCGGGCAGCCAAAAAAGTGGCCGTAATAAAGAGGTGACCTTAAGGCGGGGTTCCACTGTAACCTTTCATTCACGATAACCTTACTGCACTTTTCAAAAACACGCGAACTTTTACCTTCAAAACCAACTGACGTTTGCTTTTTTCGCTGCCGCCAATTATCTTAGCGGACCTCTTGGGAAACAAAACTTTACTTATACGGGTTCAAAAGGTCATGGTCTTTAAAAAAACTCAGTTCGTAAATCTGTCATTCTTTGTTAATAACATGACGAATACCGTAAAATTTCGAAAGTAACCTCCGGGGTTTATATTTTTCAAAGGCCCTTTTTGAGAGGCTTATTTTTGGAGGGAATCATTCTGTGGGACTTATGTGGGGAGGGAAATTTACGTTTCAAAATCGACTGGGCTAGCTTATAGTTGGAAGGAAATTTACCGTTTTTGCTTTGTTTTACTTTGTATTTGAGGGCAATTTCCAAGCCCCTGGGGGCTTATATTCGGAGGGGCGATTCAACGGAGGGTTTTTGTGTTACGGGTTTCAGGGGCTTATACACGGAGAGGTTTATTTTCGAAATCTTACGTTAGGTATTCTCAACTTTGAGGTTTTTCCTTTATAATAGCTTTGACTATAACAACCTTTAGACGCTACTGGTTCTTCTGGATCACGAGGGTAGAAGAACTTGCGCCAACATTCACAGGAAAACGGCGTCGTTTGAATACACACGGAATACTTTGGACAGTCTATGAAAGCAAATTCAAGTTACATTAAGGAATTTTTAACTGATATTGACTACCTAAATGGTATTTAGCTTAAATTTGACAAGAGAAGCTCCAGACTTTATGAACGGCATGTCTCGTTGCATTAGTTCTAGACCTGAGCATGGCGACTGATAAACATTTTCTACTTCAAACGCTTCAAGAGCAGATAATGAATGATGATATATTTTGAATGTAATCTATCTGTCCTGTGCGTGTTTATCGAAAAACAAGAATAAATGCTCTGCGATACCCCGTGAAACCATAAAAAAGGCAAAAAGCAAAACAGTCATGTTCAACAACGCATCCCAATGAATAATAAATAAATAATCAAATGATATTTTACAATAACTGAGCGAATCCTCGCGCGCTGATTGGTCAGCGAAACTGATAAATATGATATGGCGCGCGAATCCTCGCGCGCTCATTGGTCAGTAAAAACCAATCGCGTAACATTTTCCGAGAAACTTCGTAGGAAACTAAAAATCAGTGTTATTGTAGAAAAAAAAACCTACCACAATTTTTCACGGTCTACACTCTTATAGACCATAGAAATGACGCCATAAAATGTTTAAAACTTTGCAGTGAAATCACTAGCCTACGGCTCGTGGTTCCACTTGAGTTGTGAACATTTTATGACGTCATTCATATGGTCTATAAGAGTGTAGACCATGAAAAGAAGTGGTCGATTTGTTAAATAGAAATTTCTTAAATGATTTATAATGATGATTAATTGTTTGACTAATAATAACTAATAATTATATTTACTACAGAATCCAGTTATTCCCTACAAGTTCCAAGTTCCTATTCTCTCTTACCTTCACACCAAGTCCCATTTCCTGTGTATCCCCTCATACAATGACAAGAAAATGAACCAAAATTGTTTGTGCAGATACCAAATTGGTGGCAGTTATGTTCACTATTTTCGCACTCATTCAAATCTGCGTACAAAAAAAGATCAAAAGTCGGTTTTGTTAACCACTGACCAATTTCACATGACCACTTCGCGGGCTCAGGTTACCAGCCATGACGTATTTTTTACGTTTTCCGCTGACAAGTTTCTATCCTTTAACGGATTGTATGCTCAACTCGAAAAGGATTTCTTTGCAATGATAATTTAAAATTTAACTGTTTGAAGTAAATTATAAATTTATTAACGGGAGCTCCGCCTTTAGCCTTGGCTAAATTTAAATTCTCTGTTCGAGTAAGGCAGTATTTCTTATAGCGGAACGTGTGGGACACTATTTAGTTAATTGCTCATCGAAGTAATTGGGTTGTGACGTAATTGACCGCTCTTAAATCTGCCACTACATGTAAGTATGTGAAATGCTACACTAAATATGAAGTTTGCAAACTTTTCTGTATTTATCGTATTTGAAAATAACAACTGGTGAGAAATAGAACAAATGTAAAAAAAAAAGTAATTTGAGGCCTGTAGTGCTTATGTTACAGATCTAACAACAATTTAAAAGTTTCAAAAATCTCTAAGGACCCGGGTAGGAAGTTTTTAATTTTTTTACCATATAGATTCTTTTTTGTTTTTGGCGAGAGAAACCCTCGTTACTTTTGAGATGTAGGCGTGAATAGTCACAGACTTAAAGTTTAAACGCTCTTTCTATTCTCTATCCTAACAAAAGAAACATCCAGTTCTGGTATTTATAGAATTTGATTGCGTGACCATCTGTTACGATAAACTACTGAATAAATTTGGCCTCGTAATTGTCGGTTCTGTTAAATAGCCTGAACAGCTCATTATAGGTTGCTGCATGGATCCACTAAGTTTTCAGACTGAACGAAGGGCTTAGGAAATGATAGAGAAATTAGACTATATTTATTTTCTTGTAAATTTTGCACGCATCCCAGACCTCCTATATTTCCTGTTCATCCTATAATTTGTATAGGATCGTATAAAAAGCCTATATTTCAAGAACTGTTTCTAAATTGCCTATGATATCTGCATTTTACACTTTGAAGCCACTTTGTTGTGAATTAACAAAATAAAAATTCTTTATAAGGAAAAATAGTATTTTGTTAATTTTCTTTTAATTTGTTTTTAATTCTCTTTTTTTTTTCTTTTAACTTTTATTCTGTAAAGAGCCTTATATATTGGCAGACAATTCCTATATTTTCCTATATTTTGAACTTGGACAGCTTATTTTTCCCATTAGATTTTCCAAAAAGTGGCTGGGATGCGTCAGTGATTTTGTCATAACTTTGACACTTCTAAAGTCGTAAAGTTGAATGGCTACAGTAAGTAGTGGCTATAAAAATTACAGTACCTAAACAGTTTTTACCATCTCCAGTAAAACCAGGCTTGCAACGACAAGTAAATGATCCAATCGTGTTTTCACAGCTCCCCAACTCCGGGTTACAATCATGCGTTCCATGGTCACACTCATTCACATCTAGAATGCACATTAATTTTTGAATTTACAACTGACTATGGCCCTTCTTACAGTAGTTATACTGGATGGTTTCGCCCCATGTAAGGGAATCCAGATGACGGAAACCAGGAAAATTTTGCTCATGGAATCCGGAATACAGCTCAAGGAATCCGGAATCCCACTAACAATTGTAATTCAGAATCCAAGTTCCAATGAAAAATACTGGAATCCAGTACCTCGAATCCGGAATCCGCAGTGTGAAATCCGGAATCCAAGACTGTCCTGGATTCCCTTACATGAGGCAAATGGTTTCTCGCAATCTGACTGAATTTTTACCATCACTAAAAATTGTGATTTATACACTATTATCATCATCATCATTATCGTTACTATACATATATATTACACACCATTATTATTTTCTATTTCGTTTTCCTGTCACTAACTCAAATCAATTTTAAGACGTTAACTGCAAACTGTGTTATTTCCAGGAATTCCAGTTAACCCTACTTAACACAGTACATTGGTAGGTAAATAAATGATTAAATATCTCTTGCTATGGCCGTGGCCCAGCTTAGGACCAGTGGAAAAAAAAGAAGGGTTTATAAGTCTCTGTTCCTGCATAAGATTAGAGAATAAATACCCCATACGCTTCCATTTTTTAATTGACTGACCTGCTAATTGCCCACTAATTTGCCTGCTAATTTTTAATTGTTTGCGTCTTGCTAATTGCGCCTTACACAAGCATCTATACTTTCGATTAAGGTGCCTTTTTTCTCCGTTTAAAAACAAAATTATTCAATCTTACGTAGGGTATTCGAATCGTTTTCCCCGCACGAAAACTCTTAAACGATGTAAATATGATCCCTTACGGAGCGTGCGTCATGCTAGAAGTATATGGTGTATGACATCATCATATTCTAGAACCTTTGTTTTCGTTCGCTCATACGTAAACAAAAAGACGGCGTTTTCAAAAATTCCACTCTGGAGAGCGGTTTGGAAAAGATCCGTTTTCAGTGACCGTTTTCATCGGATACGTGTGGACGATGGGCCATACGGGATTAAAAAAAATATCCGTTTTTAAGCCAAAACGGATAAATGTGGACGGAGCCTGAAGCTCACCTGTACACCAAGTCCCATTTCCTGTGTATCCTTTCTTACATTGACAAGAAAATGAACCATTGTTGTTTGTGCAGATACCCTGCTGGTGGCAGTTATGGACATTACTTGTGCACTCATCCACATCTGTCAAAATTCAATCAAAAGTCCAAACTTTATTTATTGGCTTATCAGCTTAATCTTTGTATCTGATAAAATGACATCTCCCATAACGTATGTTTGTAGACCTTTTCAATAGTTAAATAACGAAAAAATTTTCATTTGTTTTTTTACTTGTTTTAGATAGTTATTTTTTTTAAACTGTATCTATTAATGTTAATTTCTATTTTTTTTATAATGACAGTGTAAAATTATTTTAATATTCGATTTTATCTTTTACAGAGGGCCACAAGTTTATCAGTTTTATCATAACTGTCACGTCCTTACCCTCTTTAAATAAAGGCGTTAACTTACCTTACCTTACCTGGGTCTAATATAAAAATAAAAAATTTACTGGAATAACTCGACTCTTACCCAACATGTCAAAGGATAGTCATTGTGTTTGAAATTTGATGAGTGAATATATTTCAGTATCTACAGTGTTAGCCCATTTCATATAATACACCCTGTACCCTATCTTTCAAATTTTCTAGTAACTTTGACTCTTCTTAAATTCGATGGCTACAGTAAGCTACGGATCGGAATTACTTTACCTGAACACTTTTTACGATCTCCAGTAAATCCAGGCTCGCAGTGACAAGTGTATGACCCTACCATGTTTTCACAGGTCCCAAAATCCGGGTCACAATCATTTGTTCCCTCTTCACACTCATCCACATCTATAAGAGACATTCAAAAACTGAGTGATTTCTCTCGCACTTAACAGCACAAGAACGAGTAATTAATTCATTTTTTAAAAAAGTAAATATATTTAGGTTAGACAATTCAGGTTAGTTTACTTTACTTTTCTTAATGAATAAATCAAGTAAACCTTCAGGATTTGGGCCCTGTCCACACCAATGCGTTTCCATATATTTCGATGTGTTTAGGCCTTTCGCACGCCGTATCGATCGCCCTATCAACATAAAAACGGTGAACCGAAATATCGGAGGCGTGTTAATGTTTGCAGTGCGTGCGTAGAGTTTAACTTACATGTACGTCACAACGCGTAATACTATCGTTTTCGAACGTTTTAGTTTGGGCAGTCAAAAACGCATCAAAACGGTAGTTTGCACACGAATCGATCGATGCGTTTTCAATGACAACGAAAACCCATACTATTGAAAACGTATTAGTGTGGACAGGGCGTTAGATGTTACCTTTGCAATTTCCAGGAATTCCAGTAAACCCTACTTTGCATGGACAAGTGTAGTTACGTTCTCCGACCCCCGGTTCTTTCTTGCAAGTAGAATATGATAAATTACAATGGTGGCGTCCTGAGTCACACGGGTGATGAACTGCCGCGAAAAAATAACCGGCATGGTTTGGTTGAAAATTATTGAAGTTTTTTGTTTAGCCGTTAATCGTCAATGTACTGGAGTAAATCAGTTCTCTGATCTGTAGGATTTGCTCATAAGTAGTCTGCGCAGCTGGCGGTATTGTAGCGGCTCCGCCGCCAAATCTCACTCGACTAGTACACAATACCGCCAGCTACACAGGCTACTTATAACACAGAGGACCAAATCGTGGTCGTTTATTTGCAGGAAGTCGACATTTTGTNTAAAAACGGTGAACCGAAATATCGGAGGCGTGTTAATGTTTGCAGTGCGTGCGTAGAGTTTAACTTACATGTACGTCACAACGCGTAATACTATCGTTTTCGAACGTTTTAGTTTGGGCAGTCAAAAACGCATCAAAACGGTAGTTTGCACACGAATCGATCGATGCGTTTTCAATGACAACGAAAACCCATACTATTGAAAACGTATTAGTGTGGACAGGGCGTTAGATGTTACCTTTGCAATTTCCAGGAATTCCAGTAAACCCTACTTTGCATGGACAAGTGTAGTTACGTTCTCCGACCCCCGGTTCTTTCTTGCAAGTAGAATATGATAAATTACAATGGTGGCGTCCTGAGTCACACGGGTGATGAACTGCCGCGAAAAAATAACCGGCATCGTTTGGTTGAAAATTATTGAAGTTTTTTGTTTAGCCGTTAATCGTCAATGTACTGGAGTAAATCAGTTCTCTGATCTGTAGGATTTGCTCATAAGTAGTCTGCGCAGCTGGCGGTATTGTAGCGGCTCCGCCGCCAAATCTCACTCGACTAGTACACAATACCGCCAGCTACACAGGCTACTTATAACACAGAGGACCAAATCGTGGTCGTTTAATTGCAGGAAGTCGACATTTTGTCATTGACAGCTTAGTAGGGACTTTATGAACAACCACGACGACGAAAAGAATTCGGATCATTACACGTTTCCGAGAAACTGCCACCTATCCCTCCCCTAAGCCAGCATTAACACTTACTTCTCACTTAGGGCAAAATGTTGGCAAAGGGGAGAGGTTGGTGGGCAGTTTCCCCAGAAACGTATAATGAACAATTATTCTAAAGATCGCACTATTTTTAGTTTAGACCTCAATTTTTAGACCAGTTTTTAGATCCATGGCTTACCAACCTGACAAATTTTTGATATTTATATCTTAAAATGAACAACGGGCGATGTATTACTGTAACAACTGGATATAAAATATCAAGTAATAAAAATAAAACTGATAATTTGAGGCGTGTTACTAAAACACAACGGTTTGAGAATTTACAAACTCTTAGTAATCTTCGGCAAGAGTACATTGTACCTGCCACTACACACCTTTTCTTTGCCATAAGAATATATTTCATAAGAATACTGGGGCTGAAATTTTCGTAATTTTAAAAATACTTTAACGGTAAACCCGAGAAGGAGAATCAAAAGGGATATAATTGCTTGTGTTGAAAATCAGTGAATACAATACGATTTACCTTCAAAACGTCACCGTAGAAAATTTCTTTCAATAAACGGCAAGAACGCTGGTACTTGAAACCCTACACGCATCCCAGACCGCCTATATTTAATTTGAATAGGATGCTATAAACAGCCTATATTTCAAGAAATCCTCAAATATTTCCTATAAATAGACCATATTCTGATATCTGCATTTTGCACTGTGAAGCAACTTTGCTGTGAATGAACAAAACCAAAATTCTGCATCAAGAAAAATAGTATTTTGTTAATTGTTTTGTTAAATTTTCTTTTAATTTGTTTTTAATTCTTTTAATATTATTATCACAATTTTGAAATGTTTTTTTTTTCTTTAAAGAGTCTCTTTATAGGCAGAAAATTCGTATATTTTCCTATATTTTGAGCTTGGACAGCCTATTTTTCCCATTAGATTTTCCAAAAAGTGGCTGGGATGCTTCAGTGATTTTGTTATAACTTTGACACTTTTAAAGTCGTTAAGTTGAATGGCTACAGTAAGTAGTGGCTAGGAAAATTACAGTACCTGAACAGTTTTTACCATCTCCAATAAAACCAGACTTGCAATGACAAGTAAATGATCCAATCATGTTATTACAGATCGCTAACACTGGGTCACAATCATTTGTTCCATTTTCACACTCATTCACATCTATAAGACACATTCAATAACTGAGTGATTTCTCTCACACTTAACAGCACAAAAACAAATAATTGATGCATTTTTTTAGAATTAGATAGCTTAAATTAGCTAGATCTAGGTTTATCTAGGAAACACAATTTCATAGTTTAGTTTAGTTGGATGATTGTACGTTTAGATGGGAAACTGCCCACCTACCCCTCCCCTAAGTCAACATTTTGCCCTTAAGGGAAAGGTAAGTGTTAATATTGGCTTAGGAGAGGGGTAGGTGGGCAGTTGCCCAAAAACGTATAATTAGGACCTATTTATATGGAGAAATGTAGTGTCCCAAGGTCACCAAAGCTACCCTGGGCAAGCCAGCTATTCATACACTTCCTTACAAAACGTGCAGAACCGTTTACACGAGAAACAAAAAGTTGGATCTCGCCTAGTAGCCGGGTCACCCTTTTTTGATTCACCCTCCAAGCCGGGCCAGCTTTTCTTTATATCAAAACTCTAGCTCTCCCAGCTGGAACAATTCGGTCAAGGCAAACAATCAGAGCATGCGGGAGCGCTGTTGGCAACATTTTTTCTCATATAAACATCCGATAAAAGTGACTCAGTTGGGGGGGTGACCCTCTTTTTCCCCGGACAACTTTCCTTTATCTAAACAGGCCTTTACGGTCGGTTATTTTAAGGAAGTCTTACTTAGACCACGGTTTAGGAAATCTTTGAATTTCCGGATCTCTTCTTTAGTGGGTTATTAAAAAAAAACAAATGCGTCTCTAGTCTACTTCATAATCCTTTAATGAAACAGTTCGCAATAAATGGTGTTGACATAAAAGCGTTCGCCAAACTGAAAATGGCTTAGTCGACGCGGTTTTCTTGAACACTGGCTATTTTCGTAAACTTCCTTTAAATACAGTGTGACTGGCCCTTAAAGATGAGTAGAAGGGACAACTGATACAAATAAATCATACCAGCCTTGGTTAACTGTTACCTGTGCAATTTCCAGGATTTCCAGTAAACCCTTTTTTGCACGGACAAGAGTAGGTATCCCCGGTTTCCTTGCACGTGGAACGAACCAAATCACATTGGTGACGCCTTGAGTGACAAGGGTGGGGGACTGCCAAAAAAAAGCATGTTTTCAATTGAGGTGTTTGGTGGCGTGTAAATGTTATAATGATCATATATTGAGTAGTTGAAACTAGGAAATAATTTCACCTGCGTTGAAAAAAAAGGTTAAATGTTAAGGGGGCTGTGTCACGGCAGTCCAGTTCATTTTGTTTAATTTTCCCAATTATTCGCCCTCAATCGCTATGGAACTTAAAGTAAGCAAAGAAATTACATGTAAATGACAAAATCAGAGATCCGAGACAAACGAATATGTCTCACGAGCATTATTTTTGAAGTTACAAGCAGCAGGCATCAACTTTGGAAAACTGTTAGGCTGAACAGCTTTCAAAAACCCTAATTTCAATCCGTTTCAGTCTTCTTCAGTTTTGCCCATCCGTGGCATCTGTTGTTTCTGTTATGTTATTTTAACCCTCCTTTATAGTTTTAAGCGGTAATTTTTTTTTTGTCTCTTAATTTAACGGGCATTTTGTAATTTCCTCATTTGGCTGAATTTCGCGACACAGCTCCTTCAAGGGTTTGTTTTTAATGAAATTGTGCACTTAGCTTTACAATTGTGTATATATTTATAGGCACTCCACTAAAACAAACAATGTTCAAATCGAACACAACAGGATTAAAAAACCGCAACTGATATATATTATATTCAAACAACAGCAACAAGTTTTACAAAAGTGCACTGGCCCTCAGATGGCTGGGGCTAATCTTGGCGGGACAGTCAATTTAAGTGTAGGGAATGCTTAATTTTTATTCTTTTGTGTTCATGTTTGTCTATATATGATATGATGTGGAAATATTATACAAAGGGGGGAAATAATTTACAGTAAATAATGGATCTGCAGTAATTAACAATGTTTATCGGAAAGCGCTGGTATCAGATAGTGAGAAAAGTTTATATGAATATCAAGGCTGAAATCTGCAAAATTTTAAGAATATTTTAAGAAAATTTTAATAATAAACCCGAGGCTAAGATTTTGAAAAGGACAAAATTTTGTGTGTTGAAAGTCTGTTAATACAATACAATCGTATGTTGTTAACGTAAACGTGTGATTATGCCTTTCTCTAAACGGCAAACCTAGCCAACAAAACGAAAAGAGCTTGGGCTGAAATTATGCTCCAATAGCTCACTTCGGAAAAGAGTGATAACCGGGGACGCAAACTAAGCGCGCGCGCATTTGTGGGATTGTTTATGGGGACAAGTCGAGCAGCCATTTTGAATTACGACGAGACGTGCTATTTGTTGTGTGCACAATAACTTTAGGAACTTCCCTAGTTTGGCATTTTATAGAATATCAAAGGCAAGACGTATTCAGGTGCGTTTTCTTTCCGGTTGTCTTGGCTCCACGGCAAAGAAGCCATCGGCTCTGCACGGTGCATTCCTCTGGTTTTTCTCGAAGTGAAATCGTCCCAGGCACATCTTCTTCCTTCAGCTTCACATTTTGTTTTTTTTTTTTCTTTCAGTTCCACCTCCCGTTCTGCTATTTTGAGCTGTTTTAACCCCGCTGAAACATTCCACTTCGCTTTTCGCCATGTTTATTTACAGTTGCGTCCCCTCAAATAATCCCATAAATGCCCGCGCGCCTAGTTTAGGCCCAAGCTATCAACGGAAGTGAGCTATACATTCTAAAACGGAAAAGTGATAAGCTATAACTCAAGAGAAATACAAGAAATTTTCAGCCTAAAATCGGCAGAAAAATAAGAGTATTCAGCCTGGACCGGAAAAAAAAAAATTAAAAACATTCTTATTAAAAAGGGTGTAATTTGAACAGGGGACAACCGAGAACAAATCCGGCCTGAGTGGCCAGTTCGAGTCACCCGGGAACGCCGCGGTTGCGAGTCTGACACGCTGAATACACGGCCTCGCTGCCTCCTTTCAATGTAACTGCTGACATGTTTGTTTTTTTGTTTTGTTTTGTTTTTTTTGCCAAAGTTAAAAATCGCGAGTGAAATTATTTCCTCATTTCAAGGGTATACCATTTGATTGCGTATATATATCATGGGTGACAATCCTGAGTTGACATCAATGACATCAATGACCACATCTTGAAAACAGCACGTCATGTCATAGGGAAACAACTGCTTAAAGATTGTGAAATCGTCACATACAGAATGCATTTTGAGTAATCTTTAGCTTTTGAATAGTTGTATTTCACTTAATTCTTACAGATCCTGATATGTATTTTCATCTTAATAAAGATTTGAGATTGTAAGACTGCTAGGGCTGAAGAAAAAATTCCAGCTATACAATAATTCAACTTATACCATCGAATCGATGGTATATTGCTCGCATCTTCCACATACAATTATTTCGAGAAAGGTTGTCAGAAAAAGTGTACGCGACAATTCCGAAAGGTATAGCCTGCGTAGCTGGAGGGATTCTTGTGCCAGGGGTACTTTTTTGACTTGTATACCCTCCCTTCTCGTGGCTCCGATGCCAAACCAACACAGCACTCCCACGCTAATTCCGCCAGCTAAGCAGGCTAAGAAAGGTATTGTGGACGGTTTTGAGTCCACTGTTCTTCAAAGAAATTTGAGAGAATGGCACAAGAGGCCATGGACGTATGTTTGCTATTGCTGAAGGAAAACAACAAAAGTCGGTTCGACAGCTTCAGTGTCAGGAACAATGTATTTATCATACCCATATTACCTTTCGGGATTGTCGCGTGCACATTTTTTCCGACAACCTTTCTCAAAATAGTTGTATGGTAAGCACCAGCTGGTTATGAAGAATAGGCCACTTGCACTAAGGGGTCACGTGATCAATACTTCCCTTAAACAATTAGTTGGAATCCTGCTGATGCCAAAAATTGACAGAGCACATAAAAATTATCTTACACCCGAAATTTGAGAGGAAAAGCATTTAAGGGAGATATTTTATGGCACTTTGATTTTTCAACAAAGTAGTATGATTTCTACTGGGCGCCATGTTGGAGGGCATACTCTTGCCCTCCAACATGGCGGCCAAACTAGTTTTTGCTTACATCTTGTTAAACTTTTGATAGTTATGCTCAGATGTGCTGCAAACGTTACCCCATCATTTTTTCAACATTTGCCTTGAAGTTTAAGTGCAAAATTTGTGTTCAGAAAGCAGTAATTCGTAATTTTCAAAATCACATTTTGGTCACGTGACCAGCTACAGACTTACTCACTTTAAGACAACGGTGCAGGTTTGAAAAACCAAATCACTTTTATTTTGTTTAGGATATGACCCACTAATCATTTTTTGAAGGCTAAATCATATAACTTTCATTTTCATATGACCTCTTAGTGCAAATGGCCTATTTAGCCGGGGCTTGGAGCCAATCAAAACTGGCGAAATATTTTGATTGAATAATAAGTTATAACGTTCAATAGGCCCCGGTTCCCGTGAAAGCCCAATAAGCGCTACTCCAGGGTTAAAAGATTTCTTCCCTTTTTGTATCTTACCTTTATATGCGTTGCCTAGAGTAACATTCTATATTTTCATCACAAAACCTCGGAGTAAATATACAACCAGTATTTTGTAAGTTCCAGGGACATGTTATGACAAGAAGACCTTACTGAAAATTTGGCTTAATCCTGGGTTAAACTTAACCATCTATTGAGGGACCGGGGCCACTGAAGAGATCAGACTTACCCCTTTCAGCACAGATGCGATAGTTACAGCTCAGATTAGCAGTGAAATTAAGCAGCTTGTAAACAAAAAACGCCTTGCAATTTGCTACAGACACTTCCAAAACATCACTGAGACATTTCTTTCCGAAACGAAAATATATTTGACGCCGAACCGTCCTGTGCACCATCGGATGCCCATGGTACAACGAGCCCGGTGCATTTGTATTACAGGCGTTTTGCGGTGGGCATCTGTAACCCTGCGGAATCCACAAGTCATCATTGTCACTTATAAAACGAATCCATAACCTCTTAAGGAGCCATGTCTGGCCTTTGTCGCAAAGAGTTATACCCGTTTCAGTAGAATTAGCTTGGACTGATCGAGACGCATTTGACGTTACATTTATGTAGTTATTACATCCTATAAACAAAGATAAAAAAGTAAATTAGTTATTACTTTGTTTTCCTTTTCCTCAAGTAGAACGATTCATTCAAATAGAAACCCTTACCCTATAAAATAAAAGAATCTCTCTAAGCTTTTCTCAGATGGTATATTGCAAAGTAACGACATGCCTGCTGCTAGTAATTTAGATTAATTTAATCTTAGGCCAGATCTTATGTTGGCTTTGTTCACATTATGCCGGATAGACCTTATGCCGGCACGAAAACCACGCCGAACGGAGCTTCTGTTTGCACATAAGAAGTTACCTATTTGGGTAAATGATTTTGGGAAAACAAATCATTCACGGATTAAGCATATATTCAACGAGAAGAAAGAAAATCCATTCTCCTATTCTGAGTGATTGACTTCATCCCTCTTGGCGGTTTTTTGTTAGCGTCTCGAACGAGTGCGAACATCAAAGAACTAGTGAAAAGGGAGCTGAAAAATACCCTACACTTCAAAGGCAATACCCTAGTGTGGAGGTGGGGAGGGGGTTATCTCAACAAATATTTTTGTTGGGGGCTCTGCCCCGAGGTTCAACCACTTCACCTTTATATACAATTTTTGATAGAAAAAAAAATGTGCCTTTACGTATACCTTCTCTTGAACCGTCTTTTGAATATGAATAAATAACTAATACAACTTATCCGACAAGTTTTCTTGTCTTTTTCAGCCCTTAAGACACCTCGTTAGGCCTTTAGGTCCTTTCACGAATCCCAATGTCAGATTTCCTCTACCTTTTCCGGCATGTTTTATGACTCGTAAAATCCCTACTCATACCTAAAGCTTGAAAAAAGTTTCTCCTAGCGACGTTTCCCCGTATTGGCTATTATAGCCTTACCACAAGTTACTCCGTAGCTTTCTGGCAACTTTTTTTTAGGAGCAACTTGGTTAAATTTTGAGCAACTTCTGGCAAGTAAAAAGCTCTATAATACTGTTGTTTAATTAAGTCTGGTTGTATATTCTTGTGAGAAAATTTCAGTTCTCAACCTTGTGTCCCATGGCCTCACCCTCAGTTGGAGTGCCCACTTTATGAGGTCAGCAGTTCGCAAAATATTACGACCATTTGCTTTTCAGAAGTGGCGGCAAAATTTTTCAGATAGTTCAGAGGAACAAATTTTCATGTTTACTGACAGCGAATGTTTTTGAACAGGACTGCTGTTCAAAAAGAGTCGCTTTCAGTCAACATGAAAATTTGTTCCTCTAAACTATCTGAAAAATTGATCTGCACGATGCACTTAATAATGTTGCGCTACAATGAAAGCCAATGAGAAAAACTATATTGATCTCAAAAGGTTTTTGCTTTCCAACTTCCTGTTTACCAAAAATGACAGTGACTGGTATAATTTCTTCCCCTTTTTGATAATATCAATAGAAGGGCTATGAGAAGATATCTTTTTTCAGTTTGCCTCAATCAATATTTGTCTGTTTACTTTGAGTTGTTGTAAATTTGAACGTCACCCGCAGTAGATGCGTTTAATAAAAAGGGCAAAAGGCAGTAGTTTGAAAGTACATTATTGTACTTCACCAGCGGCACAGCTGTATTAACGAGCAAATTGGAGTAACTTTTCAGAAGTCGAACACCATTCAGGCAACTTTTGAAAAATTTTTGAGCCAAGTTTTAGAAAGTTTGGAGCAACTTGTGGCTGAGGGTAATAGGGAGTACAACCCGGAAAAATGAGGGAAAAGGCCTAATCAACAATGGTTTCCACACCATCAAGAAACATCCAAGTGCTTTTCAGAAGTCGAACACCATTCAGGCAACTTTTGAAAATTTTTGAGCCAAGTTTTAGAAAGTCTGGAGCAACTTGTGGCTGAGGGTAATAGGGAGTACAACCTGGGAAAAGGCCTAATCAACAATGGTTTCCACACCATCAAGAAACATCCAAGTGCTTTTCAGAAGTCGAACACCATTCAGGCAACTTTTGAAAATTTTTGAGCCAAGTTTTAGAAAGTCTGGAGCAACTTGAGGCTGAGGGTAATAGGGAGTTCAACCCGGGAAATTGCCTAATCAACAATGGTTTCCGAACCATCAAGAAACATCCAAGTGCTCCTGTGGCTGGCTTTCCAACAAAAAGTCACTGTTTGGAGCACACAGGTCAAATTAATCTTGGGTTTGCATATATATATTTAATTTTTTTTTTCGTATTGACCTATATTCCAATATTCCGATGAGTTGAAATAAAAGACAAACATTAACAACACTGGCACAGATTAAGGTATAGATTCACAGTCTTCCCAATAAATGAAAACAAAGTGAACTATATCTGGCCTATCCTGGGGTCCATAAAAATTCTTGGAAATAAAATGAAAAATTCACTAGGTATACTTTAATATAGTTTCAAATAAAATGAAATACCTTGCTGGCATAAAATTGGCGTCGAAATCAGCACTATAGCGTGCAATATCTGAGGAGAGATAGCAAAAGCTAAATATTATTCATTTCAATTCATATTGTATTAGAACAAAACATCTATGATCCCTTATTTAACAAATTTCCTTTTTATGTTTTATAAACACGTCAGTCCAGAATCTTCATTTTTGAAGGAGGTGGGGATTGGTAGAAGAAAAACTGAAAGCTAACCTGTTTATGAAACAAAGAGTTCATTACTTTTTTTAACTTTCAAGCATAAGGGTTTAATTTGATCTGATAATTAAAAGTCATATTAGTAAAATCTAACTAGTGGTCTATTATTAAGGCTGCGTTCTGATTGGTTGAGCTACTACTGGGCTATATTTTATAGCCCACTGGTAGCGAAAAGCGCCGGCTTTGAAAACCAAAACATTGGCTGCTGAATCGCGTTTTACTAGCTAAAGTTGTTTTGTCTTGGTATTTTTGACCAACTAGTTGGATTTTTTTAAAACAATTATTTCTCTATCCCTCAGGCCTCTGAGTCAATAGCCCATTCGGCCTTCGGCTTCGTGGGCTATTGACTCAGAGACTATTCGGACTCGAGGAATAATTATTAATTAGCCTGCGAACACAGCCTTCTCTTCTCACTCCTCGCCGCTATTCACGTAACACGTTTCGCGAGAACTTGTGCCGAAGAGAGAGAAGAGATAATCTGTGTACCGGGCGTAAAAAAGGAAAGAGGTGAGGGACTGGGACGAAGGGACAAGGAAGGAAGATTGCATTGGGTAGAGAGGGCTTGGGGAGGACAAGACTCCCTTCCCTTTTCACTTTCGCGCTTTCCTCTCTCTCTTCCTTGTTCTCCCCCTCCTCCACCCTGAGAAGAGACGGCTGTATTGCGGGCTGATATAAGGTGGACTGAAAGCCCATTTCAAACTTAGTGTTTCCAGCTGTTAGCCCGTTCAAATACTTGTGTTGCGGGAAGTACCTCTGGTAAAAATTGGGAGCTTAATTAAGCAACAACGACGGCGACGGCTACAGAAACGTCACTTAAAAAGTGAATTCGCACTGCTTCAAACTTTATCGCGCTTATTCCATCTCGTTTACTTCGTCAAATGTTGGCAAATGTTTTGGAGTTGAATTCTAAAGGACTGTATCAAAGGTCATGAAAAGAAAAGAAAGTTGTTGTCTTGTATTCCCGTCCTCGACAAAACGTGAATTTAGGCACTTCGTAGGCTCGATTATCAGCCGCTGTTCGGGAAAATGAACCCGCAATCATCCTCCCGAAAGAGCGGCTGGACGCGTGCGATTTCCTTTGTTGGTTTAAGCCAATCATGTTACCGCCTGCAGATTTTCGTCTGGCAAAGATTTTCACAGAAATTATCACATGAAAACAAAAAGTTCCTCTTTGATCCATCGCATGACGTAGTGATTTCGACGGCGCGGAACCAATTGGCGAAATTCTAGAGTCCGAAGGAACACAACATTTTGTTTGGTTGTTTGTTGTGAACTCTTCTTTCAATGATTGTTGTTGGAGAGATTTTGCATCTTCAAGGATCCTCCAGGCGCTTTAGGTCTCGATAACTGCGTTCGTTACAGAATTGTAACCGCCCACGTTTATATTTGACAGAGGAACATTCAATACGCTAGAAATTCTGTCTGGTAAATCACAAACTTTTCCATTTAGTTTTTTCGGAGCATCATCGCTTTGACCTTTTTCCCATCCATTCGAAGATCAAAGAAAGTTAACTTCATGTCACAGTGTACAGAAATGTACCGAAAAACTATTTCTAAAGTCATTTGGGTGGGTACGGGAGCGCTTGATGCAATTTTGAGCCAAATAAACAAGAAAATTGGAGACCGCTTTCACTTCCAGTGACATCGAAGACGCGTAAATTATCAATTTTCCAACTGCGTCACAGACAAGGTCAACGAGTCACGCTTCCAGCCGTCTCTCTTCGGGGAGGATGAAAGACCGGACCCGGGAGACGGCGGAAATCGAGCCTAGGCACTTTGACGTTGTAGTCGGGCAACGAAGGCAAAGAAATGTACAAAAAAGCGTGATCCACGTGCAAAGTTGTTGTTTCGCTAATCAAACCTATTGCTTTTTTGCCGTTCTCGTTGCCGTCCGCGCGGTCGTTGCTTAAGCTCCCTAATATCATAGAATAAACTTCTCTACTGAGTGTTTTATTAATGTGTAGTGAACAACTTCTTGCGAGGTTTAAAGTTTTCTTAAACGCGCCAATCTAACAAATCTGTAAAATCAACTCTCATGTATAACAAAGAACACAGGTGAAACTCTTTTTTTTTTTAGTCAAAACACCTGCTGAAAATAAGGGAGATACGACATTATTATTATTTTTTTTCTTGGTAAGCTTAACTATCCTGCCCAAAAAGCG